TTAGGTCAAGCCAAATTTCATCCAAATCGGTTCAGTAGTTTTTGCCATATGGGTATCGATGCATTTCTAGAGGACAAGCGTAATGTAATTGGTAAATAAAATAAAGCTAAATTATTTTTAACAAATACAAAGCTAGAAACAAAATAGTAAATTTCATTCTAGGTTTTTCTGGTTTTGACAACTATTTTGAAATGGTGGGTGGAATAAATTACCCCAAGAAAGTTAACTGTCGAAGCTCGGATGGGAAGAAAAGAATTCTGTTAATTAAGGTAATTCATGAGAATCTCTTTTGAAAATAAAACCTTAGTGGATCAGATATGCTAACAGCGTTATATTTCAGGGCGAAGATGATATGCGACAAGACGCGGTGATGCAACAAGTGTTCTCGATTGTTAATACACTGCTTGAAAAGAATCCAATTACATATCATAATAAATTACTCATTCGTACTTATAAGGTATGTATGGCCTTGTGGGGAATTGGTAGACATTTTTATAATTAACCAAAATTTCGTACTGAGCACTTCATGTACGGGGTATTTAAAACTTATTTTATTTATTTATTTATTGCATTTTAGGAAGATTTACAGTATTTTAACAGAAGGTAAATTATGATTACAATAAAATAAAATCAGTACTAATTACAAATCTCCACCTATAGATAATCCATAAATACCTTAAGGAGATAGGAGGAATAAAATTAGCATTTATGAATTTATAATCCTATGAAACAATTAAAGAACTTTAGTAAATACAAAATTAAGTATGAAAAAGCAGAAGATTAAAATTTATAACTATAAATAAATATGACATTGTGTTACCTAAATGAATTAGAATTTAAATTATTCAAATACACAATTTTATTTACATACTAGCTGCCCCCGTGAACGCGTTTCGCCTAAATATGATTTTATACTTTGCCTAAATTTTTAATACTTACTATTCCTAGCTAGCTAGCAAGTTACATACCTCCGGAATAAAAGTTTTATTTTTATAACTACGTTCCTTCAGAGTTCATAAATTTAAAAAATTACTTCAATTGGTCCAGTCGTCTGGATTTTTGCGCTTAGCAACGTATTTTGGGATTAATTTGTATATGCAAACTATATACTATATAGATATATATAAGAATATATTTATATGTCGGACAAACCATTTAATTTTTTTAAGATACTAAAATTAGTTTAACGAGTACTTACTAGTTGGAAAAAATCTGAATCTGTTTCATGATCATTTTTAAAATAGGCAAGTAGGTGATCAGCCTCCAGTGCCTGACACACGCCGTCGACTTTTTGGGTCTAAGACATGTCGATTTTCTCACGATGTTTTCCTTCATCGTTCGAGCAAATGTTAAATGCGCACATAGAAAGAAAGTCCATTGGTGCACAGCCGGGGATCGAACCTACGACCTCAGGTATGAGAGTCGCACAACACAACAACACTGCTCACTTACTAGCTAACCGACCCCAAAGTCAACCCAACTAGATTAGTATTGGTTTTTTTTGACGTGGTAACTTTCAGGTAGTTGCGCTGTCCCGTCGTTCTGGTGTATTGGAGTGGTGTGCGGGCACTGTGCCGCTCGGTACGTACTTGACGAACGCGCACGTACGTCACCGCCCACAGGTAACAATATTCGTAAAACTAACCGTTTTTACTGAGGTGTGTAATGTGCCCCAGCTGTAATTACTATGAGTCTTCATATTTTAGCTTTATATTCTAATTCGTATTTTAAATCACAATCTCGTCTTTAGCGCTGTCACATATATGTCAAACTTCATACAGAGTTTGATGCTCTTGAAACTAGATAAGGGTTCCATTGACGGGCCCTTAGTCTTGATGCTGTAAACTTCAATACAATTTTATTATTAACACTATCTCGCACATACAAGAATTAAATGAATTTTGTCTTTATCCTTGTCATGTTATTTATAATAAATAAATGCAACAAAAACATAAATCTATAACTAGAGGAATATTATTATTTTATAGTTAGTACGCTTACTAGGAGGCTTCGTAAATAAATATATTTTTTAACTATTTGTTTTTATTGTTGTTTGTAGGATATATCACCGAATATCGCTAGAGGCAAGATAAAAGAGTCCCAAGAAAGGAAACTCTCAAACAAACAGAAGTTGGCGGTTTTTAACGAAATATTGCGAGTGTTTAAACCAGTTTTTCACTATTTCTTTACTGAACATTATCTCGACCCTGTTACTTGGTACGAACGAAGGCTGGCTTATACCAGAAGGTATGGGATTCACTTTTTTCAAGTACTCTTTTTTACTTTTTTGGTTACTGGGCATTTGATTTGGAGGAAAAGACGGTGCTAGACGTTTTTTATATATTTTTTTACTTAATTCTGGACATGACTACGACTGACTGCTTGAAAAGTTATTTACAACAACGATATTTTGGTGTTTCACATATCATACTAATAAAAAAACCGTATAATCCCACCGTTTTCACTAAATTCTCATGTCTCTCTTCCTCGTGGCTTAAACACAATTTGACAGAAGAAACGAAAGAGTACAATAATTCAGATTTTAATAAATAAGTCGGTACTAAAAATGTATAATGAACCGAAATAAATAATAAACACTTTTATTTAGCTAAATTATTTTTCCAACAGCTTTTTACTTCTTGTTTTCTGTGAAAATTTAAGGAGAACTTTAGGCCTTAGTATAACAAATAGAATAAACAAATTAACTCAGCAAGTAATTCTAAAAGTATTTATTTTGGTAACTATTTATTAATATTTTAATTACAAATTAAACTTTAAATATTATTCGCTTTATAGTAGTGACCGCATTATAAAACTATATAAGCAAACATTTAATCCGATGAATTATGAATTAATTATTTCAGTGTGGCAACATCGTCAATGGTCGGATACATACTTGGTTTAGGGGATCGTCATGTGCAAAACATATTAATTGATAAGACAACTGCTGAAGTTATTCATATAGATTTTGGTAAGATCTGCATATTACTTCCGTCATGTTTTACGATAACCTGGAGTGTCAAAGAAGAGTAACAAAGAGACTTGTAACTGGACTAGGGTTTTAATATATAATTTATATTGCTACAAAATAGCTTTTGTAAGTTACAGAATCTGTATAAAAACACGGTTATTCATAAAAAAAATTAACTGACTGTCGTAAATTCGAAATACTTTTACTTATTACAGCTAAAATATCGTATAAGTAATAGTGGCAATTTTTTCTAATATAAATGTTTTAAATATTGTAAAAAAAATATAAAATGTATCAGAATAAATTACCTTAATGTTAAATTACTCAATCGAATTAAAAAAAAATCGTCGTATTATTTTCCCAGTGAAGAAGTTACAGCTTTGACAAGCTTTAAGTTAAGATTTTCGATAAAAAATAAGTGCCACAGATAGTAATACGATTTTATCGTTTGATTTTCCGTGCAGGGATTGCCTTCGACCAAGGCAAAACATTACTTACTCCGGAGACAGTACCTTTCCGATTAACTCAAGACATCATCGCTGGCTTTGGTTGTTGCGGTGTTGAAGGAATATTTCGAAGGTACACACACGCACTCGTCTTAGCTTATTATATTTTGCATCTCTCTTGACAATTTTATATCTATCGAATTGTTGTTAACTAAAATGATTAATACGTTTGAATTACCTTCATAGCTATAAAATAAGTTCATTTGTAATGCTAGTTTACAAAGTCTTAATATTTTCCCATAGTTAAACACATAAATAGCTCTCTTTAGATCTCATCTTTTCGAGTAAGTCTTGTACAAGATATATTTTTGTAGATGCTGTGAGAAAACACTGCAATTGCTCCGAGATAACCAGGAGACGTTACTGACGATACTGGAAGTACTCTTATGTGATCCCTTATATCTCTGGATTGTGCCCAATACTTCTAAAAATTCCAGTAAGTAGTACATTACAGACAATTTTGTGATAATAAGTCTAATTAGACTCTTGCCAGCACTTCTTCGTTGTGTACCCTCGATTTGAGAACTGGCAATGTAAATTTAGAGATATTTGATTACTTTAATCAATGTATAAAGAACTAAATAAATATATTTTTAGTTCCAAATTTACTTTCATAGACGAGTCACGTGCTGAGACAGCGTCAGGAGGACTAGCAGAGCGGGCCTTGTTGGCCGTTCGTAGTAAGTTAAATGGAGCGGAGAGCGGAGCGGGCGGCGTTTCGGTACGAGGGCAGGTCGCCGCGCTTCTGCATCGCGCCACAGACCGGGCTAATCTTTGCCGGCTGTTTCATGGATGGCAACCCTACCTGTGATATCTAGCTACAATTTTTTATAAGAATTTTAAGTTGTTGATTTTGATTACGTGTAATAAATTGATACAATAAAGCCGTTGATGTTATTATTGATGTAAAGCAATTAAAAATAATATTAAAGGACTATGCGTAATCACAGTATTGCCAAATTCTATAATTAGATACAAATTTAAAAATTAGATACACAAAATGAATAGTTAAGTTCAAACGTAAATTTATCTTGATAAAATCACAGGCTGATGTAATAATACTTATGAAGCGTGCATGTTAATAAATAATTGAACCAAATTTACTACTTTAATTTTCAAAATTTGACATCCATATTTTAAACTTTTAACACAAAGTAGGTTTCATACCTAGTACTGATAATTATAATTTATGTCCATATTAGTTTTAAACTTCTTTCCAAGGCAAATACATCTTAATGATAATATAATTTATTTAATATATATTATTGTCTGAAGTTGACATTCTCACGGACACAGCATTGAGTGATGTTTGACATTTGACAATGTATTCAAACTTCAAAGGTTAATAACTTCAAAAAATATTTTGTAAATAAGTTTTATTTTTGATTATGTATCTTGTGAGTTGATATTAAAAATAATTATAGTCAAAATACGAGTTATAAGATCCGTACCGAAAGATCTAATTACTCCGTAACGACACTTGATCTTTAAATTGTTTCTACTTTTGCAAAGACGATACTAAAATGCCGCACAGTCATTGCCATGGAGAGCATGATCACGACCATAGTAATCCGGCAGAGCTAGGTTTGCAGTATAATCTCTATGCTAAGATTGATAAGGATAACTTGCAGTGCCTAAATGAAACCATTGATGGATCGGGAAAAACAGTTTTCAAACCATGGGAAAATAGACTGGACAGAAACGAGGTATCTTTTGAACCAAATGCATCTTATAGACAAAAGCTGGCTATTTATCTGTGATTGTGAACAAACCAGAAGTTGGTTTGCTCTCTTATAAATAGTAAATAACTTTAACCTTACTCACAAAATACCATAGCTGTAATTGACTATGTGATCTGTAAGTTTTTATCTTTTTTAAGAAATGAAGCAACACGACACGTAAAGTAACACGATTTCTCATGATAAAATATAATATTGTTATTTGTCTACAAGGCCCATAAATTTTGTGATCTTTGCAGTTTGTTGAAAGTGATGCAGATGAGGAATTACTATTTAACATACCATTCACTGGGAATATTAAATTAAAAGGTATTATCATTGCCTCAGAGGACACAGACTCCCATCCCTCAAAGTTAAGATTGTGAGTATTTACTCCAGTTCCAAGAATTTGTAATTAATGTATGTAATGGGTATATATATTGTGAGACATATAATAATTTGTGATATTTGTTAAGGTACAAGAATAAACCTAACATGACTTTCGATAATGTTTCATTGGAGCCCGATCAAGAAATAGAATTACATAAGGACAGTGAAGGAATACTTGAATATGCACCAAAGTATGTGTGTATAATATATTGATTCATTATTTTATTCAATAATTATTTCCCTAACTTTTTTTTTATTTTCACAGAATAGTCACATTTTCATCAGTATCACATTTAACTATGCATTTCCCCACAAATTTTGGTGCAGAGAATACGAAAATTTACTATATTGGACTTAAAGGAGAATGGGCGCCAGGTCATAATCATGGAGTCACCATTTGCACCTATGAGGCGAGACCTAATCTAGATGATCATAAACTGAAACACTTAGATTCAGTCGCTAAGGATATTCAATAATAAAAAGTATCATTTGGACTGATTGAATAATTGCCTATAAAACATTAGAGGACAGAAATACAATTCATGTTACGTGAATAAAGAATTTTTAATTTATTAAACAGTGTTTTTTTTAGCAATATATTTTGACCATTTCATTTTTAAATAAAATTGCTGTATTGACTTTGATGAAATTTTTAATTAATAGTGAAACAAATTAAACTCACACAATGTCAATATTTTTAAATTATTTTAACACAGGTAAATAATTGGTAGTTTTATTAAAATCTAATTTTATTTATATAACCACTACTATGTAAACAGTTTATTTACAGAAATATTGTTTTGGTTATGCTTAAATAGACCACCAGATATTTTCAAATCACATAATATTATGACAGAAAAATTATATAAATTAAATGAACTAAGTGACTTAAAGTTAATATAATACATACTATTCAATTTAAATTTATAAACTTTCTTTTGGAATTACATATTTTGAATAAATTTAGTTAATATTGGCAGTGATATTTTCAGTGGTATTTTACGAATACCTATCATAAAGATAATACAAATCGAAATGCTTATTAAGATACATGCCCATATGACTTAAAAATCAGTTTTAATTTGTGCTAGAAATGCTGCTATGTTTACATATACTATGTTTAATAGTAAAACTTATTTTAATAGTACTAAACCATCAATAAAGTTTGAAAGTCGTCTGAGAAGTGAGAATAGTATTTGTCATGAAATACGGGCCTAGTGAGTTGTCTATATGACATTGTGTCGGCGTCGTCCACGGTAGCGGCCATAGTTGGGGCGGTATCGTGGTCTGTGGGGCAAAGGCCTGCGCACGACGGCGTTAGGGACGGCCTCGACTCCAGCTGGCCGAGGGGCGTACCCCGTCGCTGGGCCCGGGTTCCGTCGTTTACACACTACACATCTAAAAAAACAAACACATTTATTTATGACAGCGACACAGAAAAAACTACGCAACCAAATTATGAAATCAAACCGATAATCCATATCATCATCACACTGATTTATTGTTTCTAGATAAAGTTTAGAAACTTATCTATCAGTAATACTTATAGAACTACTAAATCGTTATTTTAATTCTTTCTCTAATATAAAGCGCCATCAGGGAGAAACATCAATAAAAAACCTAACGGTAAAAAGTAAAAACAACAACAATTATTTCCTTCCATTCCTTTAGTTTGTTTACGCGCACCATTTATTGAGAAAAGTTGCAGGCAATATCAAGATTATAGGAAGGCAGGCGATATTAAGGTTGCTGACAATAATATAGATCAGGCTACGACCGAATTACTGCTAGTTTAAATAAAATGCTTATTTAATCTTTACCTGCTGACTTTAGATATTTGATCAACTTTTAGTGTTTGCTGTTCTGGGCGTGAGAACATTTTATTATCCTCGATCGTGGATAGCCAGTAGGAGATGGCTGTGGCGAAATAGTTACATCTTCCGAGGCCATTGCATTCTATGAAGGGACGCGTTCTGAAGTCCTGGAGACAGGAACCTGGCGATATCAGACTCTGACCTGACGCATCTGGGCCAGCTGTGTGCTGCAAATTGTATTGTTTGGTTATAGGGGTCTCTTCGCTTTTATCAGAATTCTTACATTTCTAGGTATAATTATGACGCAAAATGGGCAAGGGGTAGAGAGTCAGTATAAACTGCCTGCTTTGTACATAAAACAAATACAGTTTTGCCTTGAAATAAACCCAGAACTTACCAAGCCAACTGAGCGATGGCTCTTGTTATGAAATATCTACTATACTGGACAACACTGCCAGAAAGCAGAAAGAGCTAGAAATCTTAAAAATTTGTAGGGACACTGCAAAAGTTTGGAAATGCATATCCACACACATGCCATATAAGAAGCTTCCCTTCAGAGAAAGAATAAGGGTGACTTATGGTGACCCATTGCTGCGTACTACTGTAAAATTTTGCTTACAAATAACACGTGACTTTTTGGTAAATTAATAATGTTGATTAGTGTTATGAATATGAATTACTTACCATTAAAAAGCTGTATCCCACCCATAATTCCTCCCATTCGTTGGGACAAGAAGGCGGTGTACTACTTTGACTGTGTAAAGCGATAGCTCTTGTTGGGGATTCACAAACTTGGCATCTGTAAGTAATGATTGTCTGGCCATTGAGTGCAGTTAATAATTACTAAGTAAACAGGAGAAGCTTTGTTACACTTGAAAATCTACCCCAAAACTTGGTTCGAAAACCAATACATATTTAGGGATTTTCCTTGGGGGGTTGTGCCCCCCCAATTATTTTTAAAAAAAAAAAAAAAAACCCAAAAAAAGAAAGAAAAAAAAAAAAAAAAAAAAATTTAAACAAAAAAAAAAAAAAAAAAAACACCCCCACCACAAAAAAAAAAAAGAAAAGGGGGGGCGGCGGAACCAAAAAAAACAAAAAAAAAAAAACGCCCCCAAAAACCCCCCCCCCCCCCCCCCCCCCCCCCAAAAAAACCAACCAAACCCCCCCACACAAAACCCCAACCAAACCCCCCCCCAAAACCCACCAACTAACCCCCACAAAAAAAAAAAAAAAACCCAACAAAAAACAACCAACCCACCCCCCACCCAAAAAAAACCAAACACCTTCAAAACCAAAAAAAACAAAACACCACCCCCCCCCCCAAAACCCCCCCCCCCCCCCCAAAAAAAAAAAAAACCAAACCCAAAAAAACCCCACCCCACCTAAAAAAACTTTCTCCACCAAAACCACCACACTACCAAAAAAACCCCCCCCCCCAAAACCCCCCCCCCCCCCCCCCCCCAACCAGCCGGCCCACAACACGAACACGGCGGGCCCGCCCCCCCGGCAAAGAGGAGGGGGCCCACACCTTCCTTCTCGCGGGTTGGTCGTTTTTTTTTTTTTTTTGTTTTTTTTTTTTTTTTGTTTTTATTTTTTTTTTTTTTTTTTTTTTTTTTTTTTTTTTTTTTTTTTTTTTTTTTTTTTTTTTTATTTTTTTTTTTTTCCCCTTCCAATTCCCCCCTAATAGTTCAAGGGGTTGATCCCGGGCCCGCGAAAGAGTGGGGGGACAGAGACCGGGCGAAAAAAAAGAAGGGAAGAAAAGGGATTAAAAAAAGAGGGTTTTACCACCTAAGAAAAAACACCCCCCCAAACCCCCCCCCAACCCCCCCCCAAACCCCAAAAAAACCCCCCCCAAGGGACCCCAAACCCCCCCCAACCCCACCCAAAACGCAAACCAAAAAAAAAAGGAATGGAGGGAGTAAAAAATTTGTGTGGGGGTGGGGGGGGAGTGGGTGTTGGGGGCCGGAACCGAATCACGACCCCCACCCAAAAACGCAAACAGAAAACCCAAACAAAGAAAACAAAAACGAAAAAAAGAAAACAGCCCAAAAGAAACCCGGGAGGAAAAGGCGGCCCGCCCGCCCCAGCCCACCCGCCCCCCAACCGGCGGCCCAGCGCGCAAAACCGCGGAAAACGCCGCGCGACCGCCGGAAACGCCCCCTTTTCACCCCCTTAAAGCCCCCCCCCCCCCCCCCTTCAAAAAACCCCAACAACCCCTTAACAACACCCCAAAAAACCTCTAAACAAGAACAAAAAAAAAAAAAAAACCCGAAAAAACAACCCCCCTTTTCAAAAAAGAAAAACCAAAAAAACAAACAAACATCCCCCCCCCCAAAGGCGGCGAAACCCACCCCAAAAAAACACAACCCAAAAAACCACCCCCCCCCCCCCCCCCCCCCACTTCCCCACCAATTCCCAACCCAACGGCCACAGCGGGGGGCGGCCCAACACACCCAACAACCAAAGCAAAGAGAAGGGGGGGGGAGGGAACGCGAGGAAAAAAAACCGAAAAAACGGGGAAAGAAAAGGACCTGAAAAAAAAACCAAAAAAGAAACCAAAAAAAACCCCCCTTTTCCCCCCGCGCCCCAAACCCCCCCCACCCCCCACCCCACCCCCACCCCCCCCCCCAACGACGCCCAAAAAAGAAAAAAACCCCAAAAAAAAAGAGCAATGCGCCCCAAGGTAAGTACACCGGTGGAAAACGCGAACACCCGGGAAAAAAAGGGGGGGAAGGGAGCCAAGGAAGAAGAAAAAAAAGAAAAGAAAAGGGCGGAGGAATTCAAAGAAAAAGGGGGGCCGCCGCCGAACCCTTAAACCCAACCCGAACCGAAAAACTCAAAAAAACAAAGGTCACCTGTAAACCCCCAGGCGGAATTAAACGGCAGCCGCGGGCAGGGAGCCAAAACGCGGGAGAAAACACAAGCGACCAACACACGGAAAAAAACCCCCGCGGAAAAAACCGGGGAACCACCCAAGGGTTGGAGCCCGCGAGAAAAAAACCCGCAGGGGGGAATCCCGGAAAAAGGGGAATGGGGGCCCCGGGGAGCCGAAAAAAAAAAGGACGACCCCGAAAAAGGCCCAAAACAACCCCCCCCCCCCAAAATCCCGCCAAAAAACCAAACCCCCAAAACAAAGGGGAGACGCCCCGGCGGGAAAACCCCCCAAAAAGAAAGAAACGCGACCCCCCGCACCCCAAAAAAAACCCGCGGCGCCCAACACACGCGAAAAAAAACGGCGGGGAAGAAAAGAAAAAGCGGCCGGGCCGCGAAAAAAACAAACCCCCCCAGCGAAAAAACCAGAGGCCGGAAAAACAGCCAAAAGGCCCCCCAAACCCCCCCCCCCCCCAACCCACCCCGGTCCCCCCCCCCCCCCCTTTTTCAAAAGGCCCCCTATCAATAAAAGGGGAAAATGGGGAAAATCGTGGAAAGGGGGCGGGCCCCCCCCCTATAGGGGCAAAAAAAAACACCCAACCCCCCCGGAAAACCCCCCCCCAACTCCGGACAGCGGCAAAACCGAGAAAAAGGGGGGGGGCCCCCCCCCCCCGGCGGGGCCCCCCCCCCCGGCAGGAAAACCACACGCGGGGGGGGCCCAAAAACCCCCCAAAAAAAAAAAAAAAAAGGGGGAAACAAAAGCCCCGGCCAAAACAAGAGGCCAAACCAGAGGGAGAAGGGAAACCCGGCCCCCCCCCCCCCCCCAAACCCCCCACCAAAAAAAAAAAAAAAAACCAGGCCCGCCCGCCCAAAAAAAAAAAAAAAAAAAAGGGAAAAACCGCGGGCCGAAAACAAAAAAAGAAAACCGAAAACCCCAAAAAGCCCCCCGGGGGGGGAGAAGGGAACCCCCCCCCCCCCCCCCCGGGGGGGAAGGGGGGGGGCCCACGCGGGGGGGGGGGGGGGGGGGGGGAAGAAAGGGCCCCCCGGGGAGGGGAAAAAAAAAAAGGGGGGGGGCAGAGAGCCCGCCCCCCCCCCGAAACCCCCCCCCCCCGGGGGGGGCCGGGACGCCGGGGGCCCCCCCCCCCCCCCCCCCGGCCCCCCCCCCCCAGGGGAAGCCCCCCCGCCCCCCCCCCCCCCCGGCGGGGCAGAGGGGGGGGAGGGGGGCCCCCCCTCCCGCCCCCCCCCCCGGGCCCCCCGGGGGGGGGGGGGGGGGGGGGCGGGGGGGGGGGGGGGGGGGCCGGGGGGGGGGGGGGGGGGGGAGGGGAAAAGGGCAACACGGGGAGAGAAAAGGGGGGGCGGGGGAAGGGGGAAAGGGGGCGGGGGGGGGGGGGGGGAGGGGCCGGGCCCCCAAGGGCCCCGGGGGGGGAAGGAACGGGGGGCCATCCACCCGCCGGGGGTGGGGGGCCCCCACCAACCAAGCCCCGGGGGGGGAAGGGGGGGGGGGGGGGGGCCAAAAACACGAGGGGCGGGGGGGGGGGGGGGGGGGGGGGGGAAAGGAAAAAACCCCCGGGGGGGGGGGGGGGGGGGGGGGGGGGGGGGCGGGGGATTGGGGCCGGGGGGGGGGGGGGGGGGGGGGGGGGGGGGGGGGGGGGGGGGGGGGGGGGGGGGGGGGGGGGGGGGGGGGGGGGGGCCGGGGGGGGGAGGGGGGGGGGGGGGGGCCCCCGGGGCCCCGGGGGCCCCCGGGGCAAGGGAAAAAAAGAGGGGGGGCGGCAGGGCCGGGGGGGGGGGGGGGCGGGGGGGGGGGGGGGGGTTGGGGGGGGGGCCCGGGGGGGGGGGGGGGGGGGGGGGGGGGGGGGGCCCCCGGGGGCCTTGGGGGGGGGCCGGGCGTGGGGGGGGGGGGGGTTTGGGGGGGCCCCCCCGTCCCCGGGGGGGGGGGCCCGGGGGGGGGGGGGGGGGGGGGGGGGGGGGGGGGGGGGGGGGGGGGGGGGGGGGGGGGGGGGGGGGGGGGTGGGGGGGGTTCACGGGGGTGGGGGGGGGGGGGGGGGGGGGGGGGAAGGGGGGGGTGGGGGGGGGGGGGGGGGGGGGGGGGGGGGGGGTGGTTTTGGGGGTGGGGGGGGGGGAGAAAAGGCCGGGGGGGGGGGGGGGGGGGGGGGGGGGGGGGGGGGGGGGGGGGGGGGGGGGGGGGGGGGGGGGGGGGGGGTGGGGGGTGGGGGGGGGGTTTGGTGGGGGGGTGGGTTGGGGGGGGGGTTTTGCCGGGGGGGGTTTTTCTTTTTTTTTTTTTTTTTTTGGGGGGGGGGGGTTTTTTTTTGGGGGTTTTTTTTTTTTTTTTTCCATTTTTTTTTTTTTTTTTTGGGGGTGTGGAAAAAAAAAAAAAATTTTTTTTAAAAAAAAATTTAAAAAATTTTTTTTATTATAATTAAAAAAAAAAAAAAAAAAAAAAAAAAAAGGGGCAAAAAGGGGGGGGGGGGGGGGGGGGGGGGGGGGGGGGCGGGGCGGGGATAAAAAAAGGGGAGGGGGGGGGGGGGGGGGGGGGGGGGGGGGGGGGGGGGGGGGGGGGGGGGGGGCAAGTAATTAGGGGCGGGGCCCCAAAACCACGCCCCCCCCCCCCGCCCCCCCCCCCCGGTCCCCCTCCTTTTTTTTCTTTAAAAACCCCCACCTTTTCTTTCCTTTTTTTTCTTTTTTTTTTTTTTTTTTTTTTTCCTTTCCTTTTTACTCCCCCCTCTCCCTTTTTTTTTTTTTTTTTTTTTTTCTTTTTTTTTTTTTTTTTTTTTTAATCTATTTTTTTTTTTTTTTTTTTTTTTTTTTTAAAAAAAATTAATTTTTTTATTAAAAAAATAATATTATAATTTTAAACATATCTGCACAAATGTATTTTTTTTAATGTGCAATACACATTTGTTGTTGGTGTAAAGCTTCCCTAGAAAAGCGGTGCCGTCAACTAACGGCCGTCATTTTACGGTTGTTAATAACGGCCGCTTACTTTTTAATATAATGCAAAAAACCAATCATTTTCGCTCGTGCAAGTCACATTTCCACTCATTGTATTAATTAAATATGGGCACCGCTACACGCGAAGTGTCATATTATTGAAGTTATACTTATTTAGGCGCGTTATGAAAAATTGATGAGAGTAAAATTTTACGATGCGCGCGCACCGTGACACAAAATTAACAGAATGAAACATTCGAATAATAATATAATTTATGTTACACTTAATGTAAGCTAATAATAATAAATATTAATTTATTTAATTTTTCAAATGTAAGCTGAACTTATTAACTATAATGACTCCTTTTCCAGTCTCTGATTATTTAATTGTAATTAATTAATTGTATGCAATCAAAAACTATTTTTAATAATGCCAAAGAAGTATAACTTCTTACACGCGTACATAAGTACACGCACCCTTTTTAGAAACAAATATTATTACCTCTTAAAATTTATATCAATCAACAATTTACATATTGACATATAAAAGAAATCCAAGAATTAAAACACTACCTGGAAATATATGATCCTACGTCCCTCGCTTGGATGGGTGTCATAGCCATCGGCATGGGCTCTGGTGTTGAAAGCCAGAAACTGTAGTCTTCTCTTTGAGCGAAATTGCAAACGTCGTTTAGATTGCAGAACATGAATGGCATAGTTGAGAATCTACGGAGACAACTTCCAGGAGCACCTAAAAGAGAAATTATTATAAATACTGAGTTGGTAATTATGGAGTGATAATGTAGGCGCCAGAAGCATGCTGCAGGAATTACAGATTTTTTATTATATGTGAAATGACAGGGATTATATATTATGTATTATATTTTATATTATTTATAATACAAAGTTTACCAACGATCATTCTGACCTACATAACTAAATCTACTTACTTCCTAAAGCTTATTCTTACCACGTAGTTTTGTTAATGTCAAATTTACTGTAGGTACCTATAATGCTCGATTCACGAGGACCCATGTACCTATTAGAGGTGACGTTTTATAAAATCTTTATATTGCGCAATCATGAATTTTTAACACCCGAAAACAAAACTATTGTATAAATTCAATGCAAATGTTAAAATACGAAAGTGAACAAAAGCTATGAATGAGATGTAAGTCTGTATTAGGAACAAGCAATTAGAAAATTTTAAAAGTTGTGGAAACGAACCTAAGTCTTGTCCATGTGCTTTGGCGTTGGCTATAATATGTATAAGTGAAAATCCATCCCACATTGGTGTCGTACCGGCGGGACAGTGGGGTACCATTCTAGACTGTGAATGTACCGTGAAGTAAAATCCACGCGATTTTGGTATCGGAGGTGGGGGTGCAGGTACACCTCGAGGCCCTGGTGTACCAGGTAAACCATCCACACCTACAGTACCCTTTAGCCCAATTCGACCCCGTTCGCCCTGAGGACCTGGCACCCCTGGTAAACCAATGCTACCACTGTCTCCTAACTGTCCTTTCATTCCTGGTATACCATTTTGACCAAAGTCTCCAGGCTTACCACTAAGACCAGGACGTCCTTCGTAACCTAACGGTCCCGGTTCACCAGGAGGACCGGGATTCACTTCCGAAGGTAAGACGACATCACCTTTGTCACCTTTCACACCTTTCCTTCCGGCATATCCAGGAGGACCGGGTTTACCGATGTCACCCATTATTCCTTTTAATCCTTTAAGACCCTGCGGGCCTGGATAACCATCCCGCCCGAATTCTCCTGTTTCACCTCGCTCTCCCTTAATACCGAAGAAACCTGGTTGTCCAGGGGCACCTGTTTCACCTTTTGGACTTATAGCGAATCCCGGTTCTCCTACATTTCCTTTTGGTCCTAGAAAGCCTGGTTCACCTTCCATGCCTCGTGCTCCGGGTATACCCATTTTACCACGCCTTCCTGGCCGTCCGTCCATTCCTGACATTCCTTTTGGTCCTCTAAAACTAAGTCCTGGTTGTCCAGGTTGGCCAACTGGCCCATCAACTCCAAAGTCCCCAGGAGCTCCTTTTTGACCCATATTACCAGGCCAACCAGGTAATCCATCTTTTCCAGGTAGGCCTGATTCTCCCCTTTCAGCATTTATTCCATCTAATCCAGGTAGTCCAGGAGGCCCAACCTCACCTATATATCCCTTTGGACCCTGTGCACCTTCGAATCCAATTTCACCTTTAGCACCATTATCACCTCGTTCGCCCTTTATACCGGTCCTTCCAGTGAAACCAGGCTCACCAGTTTGTCCCTGAAATCCCGGCAAACCTTCCATTCCAAAGTCTCCAATGTCTCCTTTAGTGGCTGGAGAGAACGACCTAGGACCCATTTCTCCTTGTTCTCCTTTTACCCCAGGAGATCCTCTAAGACCTTTTACTCCAAGAAAGCCCATGTCACCTGGAATTCCTGGAGCCCCCATTTTACCAGGTTCACCTTCCATACCAATGTCACCCGTAATGCCACTTTCACCAGGAATACCGTTAGGGCCCCGTTCTCCTTTGACACCGTCAAATCCATGGCGTCCTGGTGAACCTGGGTACCCTCGAAACCCTTTATCTCCGATTTGGCCAAAATAGCCAGGTACTCCTTGCTCACCTATGGGTCCCTTGATCCCTTTAATTCCTAAGAATCCGGGAGTACCTTGACTACCTCTTTGACCTTTAACGCCGTCAAAGCCAGCCATATTTAAGCCAGAATCGCCTTGATCACCTTTTTCCCCATTTAAACCGTATAGTCCAGGCCGTCCAGAAACACCGTTTTGCCCTGGTTCTCCGTCATCACCTCTCATACCGGTCAATGCATCTTCTCCTTTTAATCCCTGAAGACCCGCCATACCTATATCACCGCTCCCGCCCTTGATCCCAGGTAAACCGTCGAGTCCTGAATAGCCTGGTTGACCAAAATCGCCGGTTTTTCCTTTATCTCCGCGTATACCAACTATTCCAGTTCTCCCAGGCTGACCGGGATATCCTTGACCACCCGTTTCTCCACGATCGCCAGATTGACCGTCATTACCAGGTCTACCCATTAATCCCGGGAATCCAGGAAAGCCTACTGTACCACGTTCTCCAGTTGCACCTCTAAAACCGATAGCACCAAACTCTCCCTTAGTTCCTTTCGGACCTACATCTCCGGGCAATCCATTGTAACCCTGAAGACCAGGTTCTCCAATAATTCCGATGGCACCCATTAATCCAGGATGTCCAGGCATACCAGGCGCTCCTTGTAGTGTAATCCCTGGCATTCCTTTACGTCCCTGCAAATGTTTAATTACCCATTAATTTACATAGTATTTACTAAACCAATCCAAAACAAAGCCATGTAGCAACAACTTCTTATTTTTGTCAGCTTAAAAAGGATTTTAGTATTGATGGCGTAGTCTTGCTCTTTCGTGAATTTTGTAAACGTTGTTGACATTCATAAGCATGCTCTAAGAAGCATCTAAATTGAATAAACGTATTTTGATTTTTTGATTTTGATTTTGATATAATGTCCGCATGTCCTCATGTCATGTTATTGTTTTTTTTAAATAAAATATTTAATAATTTCTTTCTTTAATAAACTACAATTAAAACATTTTGTTTGTAGTTTTTTTGTCGCGTGCCTAACATTTTTCTTTACGAGGAGATTCCTATTCCATTCCTATTTAAGTTATTCCTATATAGTATTTATAAAAAGTTAAAATTATTAAACGATATACTTTGGAGTGTAGTAAATACGTAAGCATATTAAAAAATATAAATTATACTACGTGCTTAATTTTAAACTTCTAACGAATACACTTTACACGATACTTACTAAAGATCCTGGTGGCCCCTGGGGCCCGCCATCACCGGCAAATCCAGTTTCACCCTTAGGGCCCATAGTCCCTCCAAGTCCTGGGGATCCTGGATAACCTGGTTCACCAATATCTCCCATTTCACCTGGCAGACCATCTATACCCCTTTCTCCATAGATGATAGCCAACCCCACTTCACCTCTTGAACCTTTTTTGCCCTTCTCTGCGCTAAATCCGTCGACTCCTTGTGGACCTGGTTTACCCGGCTCTCCAAATGGCCCTATATCTCCCTTTTCACCAGGAAATCCTCTGCTTCCTTCAGGCCCTTGCAGGGACACACCAGTGTCACCTATGTCACCTCTTGATCCTGGTATTCCATCATATCCACTCTCACCGATTTCTCCTTTTCTACCCCTTAATCCTAAAACATTAAATATATTAGCATAGGTACATGCTTGTTGTCGATTTCTTTAATATACTAATTAATTAAATTATATAATACCTTCTGGACCAAATGGTCCGATGTTTCCTTTTGAACCCTTTGAGTTAATCTCCGAACCGATAGCTTCCCCACTCTCTCCTTTAAAACCATCATCACCGGGCTCTCCACGTTCACCCCTAATAATTTTTTTGCAAAAAAGCACAAAATATCAAATAACTTCAGTTTTGGACCAAGAGTAATTCAAGGAGTATGTACAAAATATTCTATACAGATTAGAAGTCAATAAAAAATTTGAGGAATGGAAGAGTTATGTCTACTCGAAGCTCATTTTGTTACAGGACTTTTCATTACTCTTAGAGTTGCTTCTATTTTTGAATTTAGATTACTACAGAGTTTAGATCTATAAAAATAAATTAATTTTGGTAATTTTACTTACTTTATGCCTTGCTCTCCTTTCTGTCCCGTCAAGAAGGCGTACGGTACATCGGCGTTTCGTCCAGGCCATCCAGGTGCTCCGTCGCGACCGTGAGTACCGTTGCGTCCAGGAAAACCAGGCAGACCGTCGTTGCCTGTCATGCCCTTAAGACCAGGCAGGCCATGGTCGCCAGGTGGTCCAGGCCATCCAGCATCTCCTGGCAGACCAGCATCTCCCAGAAATCCTGAACATAACATTTGTTAAATTGGTCTTTACTACCATATAATATTTTGATATTGAATCGCTGTAAATAGATTCAATTCATTACCTAGGGGTCCTTGTGGGCCTTTTTCAGCTAAAGTCAATGCGTACGGTGGGTTTATTAAACGCCCTTTTCGCCCTTTATGTCCTTGTGATCCAGCCATTCCAGATTGACCTTTATTTCCTTTTACTCCTTTTTGACCGGGAATGCCGGGATATCCAGGTAAACCTTTCTTACCCCGAGGGCCGGGTAACCCTTCATATCCAGGGAATCCTTTTTGACCAGAAAATCCATCATCTCCTCTTTGTCCCTTAGGGCCCGGAAGACCTTTTAAATAAATTGATTATGAATAAAAAAGGATTTAATTATGATAGTAAATTGCCAGATAAATAAAATTAAAATTTACCGGATTTACAGACAGGGCAGTCGTCTCCTTGTTCACCCCTTGCGCCATGAAGACCTGGTCGTCCAGGTATGCCTGGATCACCAGTAAAACCAGGTGGACCAGGCGGTCCATCTTCTCCCGGTGGGCCAACTCCATGAACACCTCGTCCAGGAAAACCAGGTGGACCCATGACACCATTATCACCTCTTTCACCTCTTAATCCTGGTGAACCGTCAGTCCCAGGAGTACCATCTTCACCATAAGGTCCCACAACTGTAGCCCCTTTAAAACCTTTAGGACCCATAGAGCCCATTAATCCGGGTGACCCTTGAGATCCTCGCTGTCCTGGTAAACCTTTAAAACCGTCGTTTCCTGGCTCACCTTTAGGAGATATACCCATCACACCTTCACGGCCAGGAAGACCTTTTATACCTGGTAATCCAGGCAGACCTACTATACCAGGTAGTCCAGGAGCCCCGTCGAGGCCAGTACTTCCCGTAGGACCGGGAGGACCTATTGGTCCTTGAGGACCCATGGAACCTGGTTTTAATGGTTCACTTAAAGTTTCGTCGTATATACCAGGCTCTCCCATGAAACCTTGTTCGCCAGGAGTACCGGCTCTTCCTTCCTCTCCTATTTCACCCGATAGTCCATCATCACCGTCTAAGCCCGCGTAGCCCGGTGCTCCTTTATCACCTTTAGGCCCAGCTGGACCTAATGCTCCTCTCACACCTGGCTTTCCTCTTGGACCATTTTCACCTTGGTCTCCTTTATATCCTTGAGCACCATGTAAACCATATGGTCCCTATTAACGTTTCTATGGTTATTATTGAAATATCGTGTTCTTATTGTTAAATGTGCATTTTTCTACTTTTTATTATTTCCTTTTAATATAAAAAGAACTTACCGGTCTTCCTGTAGAACCAAGTTCTCCTTTTATGCCCTTGACTCCCTGTTGACCTCTAGGACCCCTATCTCCTCTATTACCTTTGGCTAAAATTGTTATATTTTGCTGTACTTGTTGGATAAAAACAACTTGAGCTGGTCTTCCAGGTTCTCCAACTTCACCCTGATCTCCTTTTTCACCAGGTGAACCGACAACATCTTCACCAGTATCACCTCTGTACCCTGGCACACCAGGGTTTCCCATTGGACCCTGAAATTAAAATTGAATTTATAAAATTCTAAATCGATATCCAACATAGTAATATAAAAATGTATAAATCAAAAAGACCAACAAATCAATTGAATATATAACCTGATCTCCCGTTTCTCCTCGGGGTCCACCATCTCCTATCCAACCCGTTGGACCAGGCGGGCCTGGAACTCCATGACGACCAAAGTCACCTTGAACTCCTTTCGCACCTTGTGAGTTTACACCGCCTTCACCAGCTAGACCCTGTGCTCCTTTCTCTCCGTATGGACCTGGTAGACCTCTATCACCAGGAATACCCTGGGGGCCTGGTAAGCCTATGGCACCATCAACTCCACTACAACCATCTAATCCAAACACTCCCCTGATACCCTCGAATCCTGGAGGACCCTAGAATTTCATTTGTGTTTTGTAGTCTTTACGTGGATTAGTGCCAAATTAAGTTAAATACCCATTTCATTATTACTAAAGTACTCGTCATTTAATAAATACATTTTCTTTAATTTTTGCATAGATAAATTAAAGAATTACCTGAGGCCCAGTATATCCTCGTGGTCCATATGGTCCATCTGACCCCTGAAATAAATAAAAATGTAAAATGAGAACGCAACAAATAATAATTAAACAAATTTAAATTTATAAAGACAGCTTACCCTTTCACCTTTGTCACCTGCGTCTCCTCTTTCACCTAAGTCCCCTAACTCCCCCATAATACCCATACGACCCTCTGGGCCATCATCTCCATATTCGCCTAGTATCCCAGGTATACCTGGAGGACCCGGATCACCCCTGTCTCCTTTTAATCCAGTGCAATCGCATCTTGTTTGGTTGCAGACAACCTGTTAATTATTATTATTTAAATTAATAAGCACGATGCAGTCTATATTGTAATTGATGATTAGATGTAATTTAGTATTAGAAACTAGAAAGAATGAATGTTGATCACAGCTATAAACTCGTGAGGTGGCGAATTTTTTTACAAATTTGGATGGACTGCTTAAATAGAACAATGGACGCACAGATTAAGAGCCGATATCATGGATTTTTTTATTTCATTAATAAAGTAGGTAGCAAAATGTGTGGGCTCACCATCAGATTTGTCTACATGCATCTTAATCAAACAAGTTTAATATTAAGCCATGAAAGCAGAACGTCGTAAACAATATTTGATTGGGAACATTAAGTAAAACAATGAGCGTGCCTTATCATCGGGACCTCTGACACAGATTCCCGGAGTAAGTGTAAGACCATTGCACTTCCTACCACTTAGTAGAGCATATAAATCACTGATTAAAGAAAATTTAATGCAATATTTATTTTCCTGCTTTAAATGAGTTTTATGAAAATCAAAAGCTTTATTTCACTTTAGTACTGCTCAATTATCACTAAGGCTATTTATCCCAAATAACAGGTTTTCACATGTCACTAGTGATAGAAAAATCTACACCTGAACTACAACTGCTATTTGGGATTTAGTTTAGTTAGTTTAGTTTAGCTTAATCTTTAGTATTTTTTCTTTTTTATTACCCAAAGGCCAAAAGTGGTTGTTCCATATCTGTTTTTTGCTTCTAATATACTATAAAATCATAAAATATTTGATAAATAAATTGGTTAGTAAAATGAACAAAGAATATTATGTTAAAACATCAAGACGAAAATCACATAGAATTTCGTAGCTCATAAGCTAAGACGATCATTATTTTACTCAATGACTTCAACAGAACAATAATATGTAAGTAGGTCGATGATGTCACTTCAGCAAAACGATATAATAATTAAAAACACTATAATAAATACGTTGATGAGCTTTTGACATGACTTATTTTACAATCAATTGTTTGAGAATGACAGGTAACCTCCAATAATTCAGTTTTAAATACTCAAAAAAAAAGCCAAAAGAAGCGGTCAAAATTAACGTGTTTTGTTAAAATTGTGAAATAATGTTGTTGAAGGAAATTTTACGAATTAAAAATTATAATAAACTAGCTGTTCCCTGCCACGCTTCGCTGTGGCACATTGTCATTGAATTATTGAGAAATGAGAAACCAAACAACGAAAACATTTCATTTAAGTTTAATTTTGCAATACTTGTGGAAAAAAATGAAAAAAAAAAAAAAACAAAAACAAAATAGATAAAAACAATCCTTGATGCTGATTATATAATAAAATAAAATATATATTATGCTAAAATTTCAGCTCGATCGGTGCAGAACTTTTTGAGTTTTTGAAGCGTACACAAACCAATATAACATTTTTATGTATATAAAGAAGATATAATAAAACACATAAATAATATATTTGTTTTAAAATCATTATCAAACAACACGTGTAAGGATGACTTGATTATAAAAACATATATCATTAAATGAACTTTAATCGCCGTTGACATTTAAAGTTTATATTTTTGTCTAGCAATAACAATGATTTATGTTAGTTTTCTTTTTAGTGTGATTTTCCCGACCGTCAGTGTTGGCCTAGTCGAGCGACTCTTAATGCCCCAAAGATCGTACGCTCGAATAACGGCTGTGCAATTCAATTTTTGTTTGTGCACATTTAATACGCGTTTTGTACGGTGACTGCATACACCGTAAAGTACCCGGGCATGCTTTAGTCCTGAAAATCTTCGGCGTATGTCAAACACAGAAAGCTATCTATCACAAACAGGATGTGGTTACAGTAAAGTACAGTTTAATCATCGACAAACATGGAAAGAAATGGAAGCTTTAATTGAACTGTTAGGACAATAACTATTATTGACGTGACAACTCTTATTTAATGGAGCCGGCTAGAAAAAACATGCTTGCGGCGTTACCTCGCTCTGGGGCGTTCCTTTAGATTTAATATCTGAGTCGTTACCTCGCTCTGAGCTTATTTAAATTTAACTCCATAATTGCCTATTTATGCGTAAAATAAATGTAACTTGATCAAGTTCAATTGTGATTTCCATTTACCTCCTTCTCTTTCATACAAAATCCTTCAAACAAATAAAATTTAATTTTTTTTTTGAAAAATGCAACCATCCCATCAATATTTTTTTTATGACGTTGTCACGTTCAACTATCGTCAGTAAACCGACTTTACAGACAACCGATTTATTTATTTAATTAAATGTAGTTTCTTAATATTTCATTACATATTTAAACACTCCATATTTGCCGATCTCTACGGAGAATAGAGCAAGTGTCATCGCAATTTATTAAGAAGGCGTTTGAAACGATATCAATTTACATTTGTAACGATTTAAATTCGTTTAAGGACACTATTTGATAGAGTCATATGTGTTAGTGTTCTTGCAATCAAGGTTAATTCTTGTTTATGAGTTTGTGGTATAATTCTGGAAAACGTATTTCGTTTATAATAAATAGTTTATGTTTGGTAATCGTTTAATTGACGCGTGTACATATTTCGGGTAATTCAACTTATATTTTTATTATCATTACCTACGAGTATAACACATACAGAATGCAATATATTGCGTAAAATCCTAGGGTCGAAAAGGACCGATCATGGACTATCCGAAAAAACACCGAAATAAAAGAATTGGTAGCCAACCCAACATTAGAGGTGAATACAAGGCCCATCAACTACGTGGGGCGCCTTGAGCGAATGGTCATGGTCAGTAAAGGCATATCTAAACCGGCCTACTCGCCGGGAAACAGTAGCCAGCCCTGCGATTCTGTAACTCACTTTTCGAACTCACACCAGCGGTTTTCGCATCGGCGGCGGAATCGCAGGCCTGGTACAGTTGGAATTTCGGTGGAGGAGACGCTTTAGCTGAAAGTCTGCAGTCAGACAGCGTGCGCTGGAAGTTTCTCGATTCGGACATTTTGGGTTCCAGAGCGGAGTTAGGCTCTTTCTCCACTGCTCCGGTCCGACGTCGGATACCGGAATGACTGATGAGAAAAATATCGGAAGGCCGGATTCGCGCGCTTCTCCACTATATCCGATCCGACAATAATCGATACTTGTGTATTTATCATGCAACACTTATATTAACTAAAACCCATATACTTAATTTTATTAATAAAACGTTCTAAATTCTGAATATTTTATTGCCCTGGATTACTTTTTTATATTGTCTATCTTGAAATATTATAATCTACTTAATAAATAGTTCACTAATACTATGGTATAAAAATATAATAAATAGCAACATAATTTGGTTTGGTCAGGTTATCCAGATTCTTTCAAATTAAAGAAACTATAAATAAACCTGTGAACAATAATTTATAACCTCTTGGATATACTTGGACCGCTAAAACACCGCGTTCCGATCTAGCAAGTTAACGGATCGATAAAAACCGGATGCCGGAGTAGTGAAGAAGCACGTAAGTATTGTTGTGAGTTTCTAAATCGGATCGGTAATTAACGTTTGCCGGAACGGAGCAGTGGAGAAACGGCCTTAGTGTGAGTGAGTTTGTGTAAATCTTAATATATATATTTCTTGTGTGACTGAACTTCCCTCTCAACGATGGACCATTTTGATGAAATTTTTTGTGTTGTTCAAGGGGATCTGGGAAGGTTTAGCACTCACAAATCAGCCCGGCAGGCCTTGTAATTATCACTTTGCTTAATATCCTAATCGCTTTAAATATCATGCAGGACAACGTCTGTGGGGTCCACTAGTCTCAATGTATAATTGTGAAACTGCGAGAATTGTGAAACTGCAAGGCAGCTTTAATTATCAGTTTTAACTATCCTAGATAAATACAGGCCTGGATTTAGGGGAGGGCAATCGGGACCCCGGGCTGTAGTCCACAATATAGACTTCGAAGAAGAAAACATTTAAATTCTAATTACTAAACCACATTGTCTTTGATTTTTTTTTGCCGTTTAACCTACAGTACTTTGTACAACTATGATTTTATTATTCTTAGGTATTAACAGAAATCATTGATCTCGACTGAATATAATATAGAGGATATTATATAGCATTTTTTGGAGCTGGTGTTCCAACTTTGTTGTCCCGAGGCCTAGCTCTAAATCCGGACACTTATAAATAGAGCTACAAAGGTAGTTAATTTGTTACGTAGCTGTCTACGAAACGCTACGATCTATGTACGATACCCAAAAATATATAAAAAAATCAACTTAAAAAATTGAGTTTCCTTGAAACTACATTTATTGATGCATGCATTTTGATTGTGAAGTAATTTAAACATCATTTGAATCTAAGGACTATATATCACCGAAACAAATGACGTTATCTTAAATTAGTTTATTGTTTTGCGTCTAGGCATTTGTGTTCACGATGCTACTATGATGTTTATTAACGCACTAAGTCCATTGCAAAGCTTGACAAATGTAAATTTAATAATGTAATGTACCTTACATGTGTATTGCTCTGTAGATACAATATGTAAAAAAATTGGTGCTGGGAAGACACCAAATATATAATTATATGTTTGTTTTATTTTCAGTTTTATGTATGAGCAATTGACTATCACGGAAAATATGGTTTGTTCTCTTGGGATTCAGGGAAAATAAATCCAAGAAAGTTCAGTATTAAATTAAACTAGATATACCAAAATTTTAAAAGTATGTACAATGGTGTCAGCCATTGTGTAAATGTACTAATGTAGTTCATAAATTAAATGCTTAATGAATAGACATGAAAGCTTTGGTCTGTTACGGATACGTTGAACTGCAGAAATATAACTAAGTATAGATTTAACAGAAGCCCTTGAATACGTTACATCTGTGCAAACTCTCTTGTTTATGACCAGCTTTGGAAGTACATAGATACAATTAAGATAAATCAATCGTATTTAATTAGTTCTTTGCTACTATGTCACACATTTTTCAGTGCGAACAGCGCTTCCTGTGGCGTGGGCGCTGTCAGTGTGCGTTCTTCCGGTTGACGCGTATTCTCAGGGACGCAAAAATGTTGCGATTAAGCACCTAGTTTTATAAATTTATAGACTTAAAATCGCTGTATAAAAAATAAATGAACTGAGAATGAAACTCGATTCGTCAGTTAGTCGGACAATTCACAATTGCCGTGCCAATTGCATTAATTTCTATTATTATTCAGTTTCGCCTAATAACAGATATATAGTGTTTATTGCTAAATAATATTCTATTATTTATTTACTTACCATACGGTATGAATAACATTTAAAAACATTGTTTAATATTAGATCAATTTAAATTTGAAAAAGACACGTTGTTTGTAAAGCGTAATAAAAGGTTGCATGTTATTAGATCTAGAAATTAAATATACTTGACAACAGAGTTCATTTCTTTTGTCC